ATTTTTTGAGGTTCGCCAATTTATAGACAAAAATATAACATTATATTTTCTGTTTTATGCAAGTGTTATATGCGACAAAGACTTTCTATTTCTAAAAACGACTCTCAGAAAATAATTCTTAAAAAAGATCACACAACATAATGACGTGGATACCATATTTAAATATAATGGGCAAAAAATGTAAAAAATTTTGGTAACCAACTTGAGCGTCCTGCATAATTATAATATATATTCTGATGGTCTAACAAAATTATTTTCAAATCTAGCTAAATTTGTAGATTCTTTAAGAAAATAATTTTTTCGTGTAATAGAGAGTAAAGTGGACGGCCAACACGACGATTACGTTTTTAACGTAACCGTTGACCGGTCACTCTGTCATTAACTCCGTCAAAATAAAACGTTTACATTGCTCCGCACGCGGCAAAAAATAGTGGTTATCGTAGCAGACCGGTTCGCACGGCGATTTGCTCGCTTCGGCATTACGATTCCTGACGATCGCGCGATTATAGTCGCGTTATCCTCGGCACATCGGGAATAGTAGTTATCCACCGCGAGGAGGATGCGCTTTTATCAACGCAACGATTCTCGCCGGACATACTGTGCAATCCTTTTTTTAGGGTGTCCCTCGACCGTGTATCCCATCGATTAAATCATATGGCGGAAGAGCCCGCTTTACGATGCATCGAGGCCGAAGTGTTATTACTCTCCTTAACACAGCTTCCGAGCAGAAATTCCGGGTCGCGCCCGTATAACAACATCGAAAAAGATGATTAATAACGCCCGCGGTCACCGAGAAGCGCCGTAATATTACGCACGGAAATCAGTCACACGCCGCTTCCTACCAACCAAATTCACGGAGTTCGTGACGGTGGAACATTAAGCGTGCAACTGCCGCGCCGCGCCGCGCCGCGCCGCGCCGGGGCTACCTGTTTGGCGCGTTGTAAAATTTCGGGGAAAGTCGTGCGCCACATCTCCTTTCACTTACCCGTCAAACACCTCGTTAGATGCGTTACTATTAATGTGAATTGATTAATATGGGCACAACTTGTAAATAAACATAAATGTATGCGTTTTAATAACAATTATCAAAGTACTATACTTTCTAAATAATTATTAAATTAATCTTAACGTATTCAATTTTTTTTATTGAAATTAAATTTCGCAAAAAACGCCTTACTTTTTTTTTAATTTGTTACTTTCATAAACAAGATATGAGTTGAGATAAAAATTTTTCCCGATGTGCGCGCTTTTTTTTATCACTTTCTGTAAACGAATTACGTGAAAAAAGAACGTTCAGAAAATGCATGGAGGAAACGCACGACGCTGCAGCATACGTCACGAATTTAGCGTGTGCGTGAGACAGTTGTTAATACCGGTTAACAATTAATAAAAGAAGCTACTGACAGGAGGGATACGCTGCTCTCGCGTGAGAGCGCGCACGAGAAACCTTCGAAAATTCGATGTTCATGTTTCACCATCGGCGGTGCGAGCTTACGTGATCGCACGCATTTTTTTTTTTTTTTTTTTCAAAGGGCGTACGGCCGAATCCGCGGAAAGAAAGGAAAAAAAGGACGCTGCAAAAGGAGAACGCGGAGCAGGTCGTAGAAAACGCATGCTCCTCGTTCGGATTCACGCCTCGGTAGGCCCGGCGCGCTGTGGCCGCGCACGCAACATAAAAGTTTCCAATTATAATGCACGGCATGATACTTCATTTCGTCCGTCGTCAATTAAAAGCCACGAAACGCCCGACGGCGGCCATCGCTACCGAGTAATTTGCGCGCCGGTAGCGATGGACTATCCTCTGGAAGAAATGCCTGAAAGAGAGAGAAAGGGAGAAAAAAGAGAGATGCATGGAGAGCGTGAGCTTATTATCGAATATTCTGCAGTGGGCCTCATCGAGATATTGTACAATCGAGAGCATTAATGCCATCTGAAACGCCTATCATTTACAGAGATTTTATAGAATAACTTAATTCGACGTCAAAAATGCAAGAGCTTTAAAATTTTTTTTATACGAAAAGTAAGTATTTTAGATTTCTAATATTTTTTTCTTAGTAATAAACAGTACAAAGTTTATATGTTGGTACATATAGTTTATTTATCTTAAAGTAAATAATACTGGATAAATTAAGTTTTCATTGTACAGAGTTACTCTAATATATGATACATATAATACACCTTTAAGGATCCGTAAAATATTTGAGTCATACAATTTTAACAGATAGGCAAAAAAAGATGCATTTTTTAAATATTATAGAGAAATTTAATGATTGAGTATTAGCGTACCGAATGGCATTAATACTTCTGATTCTACTGTCGGAAAATGTTACACGTAACGTTTAGAAAGAGGGACTGAGAAAGAGAGAAAGGTGAATGTCTTCTCCAATAAGATAATTGCGCAGGAAACGATTAGAGTTATGATTTGCATTCGCAGTATTACCTCCAATGGCGAAAATGTATAACAATTAAATCTTCATTTAAATAATAACTTTAAGCGTTAAATTAATTTACTGCCTCTTATTAGCAAATTTAAGGCTCGCGTTCCAACAATAACTGATGACTATCTAAATGATCAGTCATTGAGTGAGCAATGTGATCGTTTGTTATTATATGGTGTAATAAAAGATATTAAACAACAGTTATGTAAAATATAAATGAGTAAGCACCATCTAATATGTGTATGTATGTGTCATCTAAAAATGTCTTTCTTGTATATTCAATGTACATCTTAAGGAGTCAAGAACATGACATAATGAGAAATCAATTTTTTTCTATCTAAAGACGTTACGATTGATTCGCGCAAAACGAACCTTATTTGTGATATCAGATGTAAGTTCGTGTAATTTTCTCACAAATTACTTGTTCGCATCTTTTAGCCACTTAATGTCCATCTTAGTGCCTTAATGTCAAAGTTAATTAACAATGTGGATCAGTCGATTAAAGAAGGGTCTCATTTGGGTGCGAGATACATTTATCATCTTTACCGTAATATTTATCGGAAAGGACACGTATAACGAGTGTCCGCCGTAAGATGGTGGTACGACCCTCAGGGATGCTTGAGCGGCGATTAATCGTTAAAAATTGCGGTTTATCTTGATCCTCGATCGAAATGTGCGGCGCGCATGCGAGCGACCGTATTAACATATAGCATTAGATATTCCGCATGCGAAGCTCGCGCTTATATTAAGCGCGAGCGGTATTCGCACAGCTTTACTTGGATTTCTACAGTAATTACACGCGCATAATAGGCACCCTCGTGCGCCGTCGATACGGTCAGTGCGAAAGCTCAGATTGCACCCGGGACAAATGGCATTGAATGATAACGATAATGACGATAACGCCGTGTTTAAAAGTAGCACTGAGAAAATAATATTAGTTGAAAACGGATAAAAACAGAAAATCCTAATTAAATCCGTCAGAATTTCGATTATCTCAACTAGAATTTATAGTAATAATAGACAATTTTCTGGTTAAATCTACTAAAATTCTAATTAAGATTGATTTAATCAGAATCCTCTGTGGAGATTGTCCATTTTCAACAAACCTTTTCTTAGTGACGATATGACGTAGCGGATATATCTGCAACTATTGGCAATTACGGAGCAGAATATATAGCATGAGAAAAGTGCTTCTTGAAAAAATGCTTCAAGAGAATTATGACACATGAAAGTAACACGCGATGCTAGTTAAAACGTACAAACGATTGACGATGCATACAGTCTAATGGGCCGCGACGAAATAATGCAAACGTACGTAATCGGTATACATGAGGAGCGATTAATTCAATTTGTGGATGCATATTAAACGACGTGGTGTGAAAATACTACGGAAACTTTTTACCTGATATTGTAAATCGTTCGTTTAGCATTACGAGCTCTCACCGTTGATCAACCGTGAAAAAGCACGCGGCAGGTACAAGGATAATACGCTGGTTTAGCCTTTAATGTTGCGTCGCACATGGCGGCGCAAAACCAATTTTTGTGACAAGGAGAGACGGAAATCACGGTGTTGCACATTCGCCGACCATAACTGCGCGTACGTTAACTTCCTCCATTTACTTTGTAGCCATTTACTTCGTGTAATGCGTGTACACATGCATACGTGTATATATATATATGTATGTAAAGAACACGTTATTTACATATTATGTAGCATTAGATATAATAATTAGATAATATTATATAATATTATGATAATTATATAATATTACATATATCGATAAATGTATTAGTGATAAAGTTATTTTCCTTTTAAAAGCACAGTTGACACAAATATCGTTTTATCCTTCTTCTTAGCATTTAGTAAATGAAGCTATAACAACACTTGTGTCTTCTGTGTTTTCTAAAAACAAAACAGCTATGATATGGATATTTTTCATAAACTCGTATCAAAGTCTAATATTTACTGTATATGTATAATTACTTTTATAGAAAAAGTAATATATCTAACATTATTTACTATTATCTTTTTATTAATTATTCAAATATAATATGCATTTATATCATACATTATTATACATACGTTATGTCTAAAAAAAATTAATTTTTCAAATTTTGTAACAAATTTCCCAAATTATTTGAATATGATTTTTTTAAGATTGAAACTGTGGATATTAAATAAAGAAAATATTTCATGTAAATACACATATGAAAAATCTATGAAATATATGTAGATATATACATATATATATTATCATTATTTGTATTGATTGCGAGTAGAAAAAATTAATTGCCGTAAAATATTTAATACTTGAAATAGATCAAACTTTAGGCTGTCGCGAAAGAAATTCATGTGCCATGTGTATCCATTTCCTGAACTCGCCTAACCGAGTTCTTTTTTGTCAGTGTACGTAAAGCAAGACCCCGTATGGATAATATGAGCGATGAGGTGCAGGGAAAGTGCTAAGCTATTATAGCGCGAAGTATATAAGGCTCAGCTTAGAAAACGAAGCGGTTCAGTTAGTGGTCATACGCCACGCTAAAATATACGTGAACTCGAGAATGAATATTAAGGTAATATTAAGGTCATAATATATCAAATCAAATAGGAAATACACGTTTCATAACGTAAGATGTCAGTAATTCTTTTTTCTTTTTTAAGTTGTTCTCGTTACAAAATAAGATGAAATATTTCAAGTCTAGTGTCTTATAATACTTTTGTGCAATTTCATAATTTTTATTATTTATCACTTACTAATTACAATTCTATTAAATTATTATATATTATACATATATTGTATATTAAATTATTAATCATATAAAGCTTTATAATAACATTATTTGAACGTGATTTCAGATTGCCATCATTTTGGTGGCAGTGGCCACCCAAGTTATATGCGCGAAGGATTCGAGCAAGGTAGGAAAGAGCTCGCAGAATGTCGAAGCCGCGGAATCAACGGAGAAGAAAACAGAAAAACGTGGACTCCAGCATAGTTTCGGTGATTTAGGCGGTGGCGGTGGCGATCTACATGGTGGCGGTGGTGATTTAGGCGGTGGCGGTGGCATTGGTTACGATCAACATGAGCATGTGAAGACGGTGACGGTTGTAAAGAAAGTGCCAGTACCTTATGAAGTAACGAAGCACGTACCCTATCTGGTGGAGAAACACGTACCATACGAAGTGAAGGTCGGCGTGCCACAGCCCTACACCGTCGAAAAGCATGTGCCCTACCCTGTGAAGGTGTTCGTCAAAGTGCCGGTCCACGTGCCGCAGCCGTACACCGTCGAGAAGAAGGTGCCGTATGAAGTGAAGGTGCCGGTGGATAAGCCTTACGAAGTCAAGGTATACGTGCCACAGCCCTACACCGTGGAAAAGCACATACCAGTGCCGGTGAAGGTACCGGTACCACAGCCCTACACCGTCGAGAAGCACGTGCCTTTCCCTGTGAAGATAAAGATTCCGGTTCCGCAGCCGTATCCTGTGGAGAAACCGGTGCCCTACGAGGTGAAGGTACCGGTGGACAAGCCGTATCCAGTCCCTGTGCCGAAACCGTATCCGGTCACCGTCGAAAAACCGTATCCGGTGCCAGTCGAAAAGCCGATACCGTACGAAGTGAAGGTGCCAGTCGACAAACCGTACCCGGTGCCAGTGGAAAAACCATATCCGGTGCCAGTGAAGGTGCCGGTTCCGCAACCGTACCATGTTCACAAACCGATACCGGTGCCGGTAGAAAAGCCGATTCCAGTGCCGATCAAAGTGCCGGTTGACAAACCGTATATCGTCGAAAAGGAGGTTCCGGTTCCGGTCGAGAAAGAAATACCGGTGCCAGTTAAAGTTCCGGTGCACATACCGATTCACATACCGAAGCATGATCACGGTGATCTGGGCGGCTACGGCGGTGGAGGCGGATATGGTGGCGGTGGAGGCGGATATGGTGGCGGTGGAGGCGGATATGGTGGCGGTGGAGGCGGATATGGTGGCGGTGGAGGCGGATATGGTGGCGGTTACGGCGATGGAGGTGACTTCCACGGTGGCGGTGGTGGAGGTGATTTCCACGGTGGCGGCGGCGGCGGAGGTTACGAATCGATTCATGGCTGATCCTTGCGACGACGAATCGCGGAGCGCACGCGAGAAACGAACATCGAGCTGCGTTTTATTTTTACGAAACGCTTTCACTCCTTCGATGTTAGATGCTCGCGTATTATCCTCCGAATTGAGAGAGATACTTCTCATCGGATTAGTTCAGCAATTCTCGAGAAGTAATCTCTAGAGCTATAGGAGAAATTTTAGCTTTAAGCAAAGATCTTTGTTCGGAGATTATTAGCGAGTTAGAAGAAATATGCAGGTGACAATTAACAGTCGCGATTGACGAGTTTACCGTATTCTTGTATTATATTTCCGGAAATCCAGGTAAACGTAGTGATTATTCGGCAATACTCTTAGACTGTGTATTATGATAATAAGTTAAGCGAAATCAATTACTCTATGGATTATGTCCTCTGCGGTAACGAATCGCGCACGTTAATAAATTAACATATCCGGAATCTAAACCAATGTATATCTTTCTATATTTAAAAAAAAAAGTGCACAAGTACGTGCAGATTCTAGCGCACATTATTGGCTCAACATTCGCGGCAATCCGTTATGTTCACGTATAGTATTGCTGTGAGGTATTATTACCATACTTAGAAACGTAAGTAAGTTAAGTAAAAAAAAAAAACTCATTGTGAAAACAATATACGTATCTTTTTTATATCAAAAGTTAAATAAATATTCTGCCTATTACACCTCACTTTTCTCAATCCTCTTATCTTAATAACAGAACTAAAATACCTAGATCACTTTTCTTATCGTACGTAACAAGATGGAGTGCAAGATAACGCAGAGAGATGGAATAATACATCGTCCGTTATGGTGTATGACGCGCAGATTCATGCTAACCATATCAAACATGTTGCGAGAGTATAAATCAACGTCAAGATTCACTTTCTCGAGAAAATTTCGTCGACTGTTGAACGAAAGTTTCACTCTTCTAAATTCACTGTTCCCGTCGGCGAAGAAAAGTACGTTTCTTGCGTATCGTATTATCCAAGCAATTGACATAAAAAAAAAAAAGAAATATAAAAAAAATTCGCTGACTATGGAGTCCAAAAAGTACGAAGTCAATATTCGCTCGTAAATTATAGCGATGCTTTCCGCGTTTACCTTCCGGTCTACAGCGAGCAGGTAAAAGCCGCGATATTATTGATGTTAACCTGTCGAAAGATCATGAAGTTCTCGAGCGCAAAAATGCAAAAATCACAGGTACAAAAAGGCAGAAAGGAAGGGGTGTATATCCAAGTCTCGAGACAGAAGCTGCGCGTACTTCCGCAAAGGAACACTTTCGATTCCCGAGAGCGATCCGTGTACCTGGGCCGCAATTAAGCGCACTAGATACATGCGTGTTTACGTTCAAGAAAGCATTACTTTCTCCGTCGGAGCCATCGAGCCTGCCGCGTATATACACACGTAAAACGTAATACTCCAAAGCGCGTCTACGACATCCGAATACTATCTCGCCACTCCTTTCACCAACTCGATCTTTTCCGATTGAAATTTGATAGGCTAGATTTTACTGCTTTTAAGTATATACAAACGCAAGAAACGTCATCATAATTTACGTGAGCTTCGAGCGTTTGCGAAATTAAACGTATTCTGCTAGCGTTAATTTCATTAATAATATATTCACAAATTTATAAAAATTAATTCGTTTAATTTGATAGTGGATATTCGCTTGTAGAGGAAAGATAAAATATTTCTGGTGAAAATTGGGTCGGCCACGTTAACGAACGAATTTCCTGTTTCGTTACACAGGACAGCCGGCTTTACTCGGGTTTCCTATCGATATTATCAGTCGCTGCGGCGGCGGCGGCGTAATTAAAATTCGTAGCGCGCAATTAAATACGAATAAAGATTAAGATATATCCGTTGTACGCTATATCTAAAAACCCGACGATCGTTTCACCTCTTCTCTCGAACGCTCGTTTAGCCACTAATAAAATCTGGGTTCCGTATCTGTTTATACATGGCAAAAAAAATTACGGGAAACTGCTGCGGTATTATCGAACATGGGAGAAATCGATAATGATGCAACACATCAGAAGATCGCCGTAAAATCAGTCCCTCCCTACTCCCTTTCATCTCGTTAAGTGCAATTTATAATATCGGATGTACTTAGGTAGCACATTATTAAAACATGTAACGAGCTAACGACAAGATTAGTTAGCGGTCACAATACTCGTGAGTACGCGAGCGTAGCGTTATATTGTAATTGTGTGTGCACAGGCGACGCGACGTAAGTAGGTATACGCGTGTGTGCTGCCGCGAGGCAATGTGAGGAGAGACCAACGCGTTCACGTTGGGCGAACGACCGACTCTCTGTGAAAGTGAAAAAAATGGCGACGATTCTGCGATGCGTGAATTATAGCCCCGTGCTATAACTGCTGTACAGGTATCTTTCCTACGCTGAGATGCCGCGCACACTTCCGGTTTTCTATATCGAGGCTCTTTGGTAATAATAAAGAAGAAAGTTTCCTGCTGCATCGCGCCGCTACGCTACCTCGCGTTTCGTATTTCGTTCATCTCGCGAGATACGGCGCCTTTTGTTTCCCGGACTGATTTGCATAATCACGATTTCATAATTGTTTTAATGGCAAGTCTTATTACCAATTGTAATATATCTAAAAAAAAGTTCACTAAATATAGCTTCCTGAATAATTTTTATGTTCCTTGGAATGCATGTATTTGTATGAAAAACTACTTGTTTAATTTTAACAGAATTGACTTGTCATTGACAATCATATTTTACATTTAATTCGTTGTATATTTATTACTGTCGTATATTTATTACTGATCGTCTTTAGAAAGAAAATTATCATTTAAGCAACGCGCGTCTACAATGAAATTTTAAGGCATAAAACTTTAAATCGTAAGTTAATTATAGTCGATTAAGAAACTAATCATAGTCAATCATTCACCTCACATTCGACTGTAATTAATCAATTTCCTACGGCTTACGGCTTAAAATCTCATTGTAGACGCCGCTTTACGGCTTTCCCGTGACACAAGGGAAGTGAATCGCGTAAACTAAATTTCTGTACCATTATCTACTTCCACTCTCCGACGTTCCAACCCCGTTCCAGGTTTATTCGCGAAGGAAGGAAGGAAGGAAGGGGCGGGCTCTCTTATCCGTCGCTGTGGCGGGTGTCGGTGGCGCGACTGTGAAGCGAAGGCAATTATCGTAGCGAAACTTGAACGTGGCAACGCGCGCCCCGAGGACGACGGGTTTTCGGCTTCGATGTGTGGGAGTGAGTGTTTGGCGTCTGATACGACGGGTCAGGTCCCCGGGGATTCTCAGGAACTCAAACGGGACTATCCCGCCTCCTCTCTCTCATCACAGTTAATTACCAGTCCTCGGCCGTGCTCGAATCGGTCTCTCTTTCTCACTCCGTTTACCTTAGTCCCTTAGTCTTTCTCGAACCCATATCGCTTCCGCCGAGCGATCCACCCTCAATAATCCACGACCGTACCGTTTCCTACTGTTTTGAAATCTTTTTTCCGGCGAATGTAATTTTCGCGAAACACACGGTTAATTATTAAACCGCATTATGCGGTAGAAAACTAATTGCTATCCTTTCTTTTCTTGTCTTAATATAATCTTATGCATATTAAAAAAAATAGTTTTAATGTATATTCAAACAATTCTTTCTTTATATATCGTTATAAATATATATTATCTAAAATTTGATTTTTATTTTTCTTGTATCAGCTTATGATTGCATTCCTACAATCGTTCTCGAATCATAATAAAAGTTTCTATCCAATTACTATTTATACTTTCCCTGCATTAAGCGCACTCGGGAGATACACATCTTATGCGAAACGCGTTCTTTAACGCGATAAAAAATACCGTACGGATATATCTGAGTAGGGATATCTTTTTTCATATACGGTTAATGGATCCGATTCATGCAGAATACAGGGTGTGTCAGGCACGGCGGGACAAAAATGTAGATTCATACACATTTCAGCGGTGTCACACGTATAGACATTTTAAGAGTTACGTGCAATCAATAGGCGACAGGGAAACCCCCGTGGGAATCCAAGCGAGCGAATCGTAGCGGGATTGAACGCTTGAAATGGAATAATATCCAATAATCTGGCAGCCGAGAGAACGGGATAAAAAGGGACGTTTTATCGGAGCATCGCAGCATCCAACCAAGCGGTATCCAACCATTTCCGCCAAGCTCTCGGAGCCATTTCGCCCCGTTCTCGGCTAGCTGGCAAAATTAATTATTGATTTCGGATACGCGCATTCAGTCGCGGCGGCCAGCTTTTAATCGAAAACGAGCCATCCGTCGCACACCCATTTCCGACCGCTACGAATTTAACAACGGATCGATCTGGAAATGCCCGTTTGTGTCACACTATCACTGCCACTTGTAACAAAAAACCTCCATCTATTTGCGGTTATTCGTTTCTATTCTTTTTACGATAATTTTCGAGGCACTCGACATATATGTATATCAGATGAAAATAAAATATTTCGTTAGAATTATTACGTAACGATATAAGAAATGAACAATTATTACTAAATAATAACAATACAGAAAAAAGATATCTTAAACCTGAATAATAAATGAAATAATTCAATCATAATGCAACTCTGTATACACATACATATATAGATACACACACATATATATAATAGTATTAAAAAAATATATATATATATAATCATATACATATATCGTATATATCATATATATGTATTAAATTATATTTTATTTTGTTAATATATTAATCTATATGAATTCGCAAATCAAAGTTATTTTATTTTTACCCAAATCAATATTCAGATTGACAAAATAACAAAATAAGAAGATGAAACAATGTATGAAAATACCTACAGGATTAGAAAGATAAGGGACGTAGGAGTACCTGGAGAAAGGCATCTAGAATTACTGTTTATCCTTTAAGGGAAGTAGAGGGCTGGGAAAGGTTCGGTAAGAAGTTATCGGCTGTTGGTTTTATGAAAGCCTCGTCCGATGTGGCGTTGAAGTCTATTAGCTAAATGAAATAAATTGGAGAAAAATATTTAAATTTTATTTCATATACATAAAAAAGATGTATATTTGCAAAATAAGTTGTTCTATCACTTCCACATTTTTTATTTTATTTATTTTATCTTTAATAGATTTTTTTAATCAATATAGAATTGACATTTCTACTATTAAGTTCAATTCTGTATTGAGTTCCAGAAATGGAAGTAACTCGTTACTTGTAACTTCGTTACAGTTACTTTTTTGGTAACTTTACTGGTAACTGCATTACTTTCTTTTTTTAGTAACTGTAACGGTAACGTAGTTACATCTTTTGGATAATGGTAACGAAATTTACAGTTACTTTTATCGTTACTTTGCATACGTTATTCCGTTATATGTATAACAATTAGATGTTATTAATTACGACAGCTATAAATGTGGTTGTAGGACATTGAGTGTTTTTATTTAACACAAGTGTACAAGCTACATTTAGTTTAATTGAATCTAAACATCGTACACATTTTTTTCTAATTGAACTGTGTATAAAGCTTTACTCTGTACACCCCTTTTTGCAAAACTTCTGTTATATATTTTAATTATAGCGTTATAATTTTCTTTCTATCAAAATATTTGATTTATAGCTAAAAGTATAGATTATGTAAAAATATAGCTGTATTATAATAAAGAAATTATGTGTATTTCTTAATGTTCTTTTTAATCTCTAACTTATATTGTGATTCAGATAGTCCTATACAATTCTATATAATCTTCTAGTTTTCTTTAAAGTATAAAAAAATTTCTAAAATATTTTAGCTGTCAACTGCTGTAGCGATCCTGAAGTGATCTTTGACAGCTGAGAAATATATATACAGTACCATTATTTCAGGAATTATTTTACACTTCTATCTTCTATGTGATGATCGGACTGTATGTATATCTCAGTTTGCTGCATATTTTACAGATTTTAAAATTACGAAATTGTGTTTAAAAAAAAATAAAAAATCAAATTATATATAGTGTCAGGGTTATATATGGTATATATACATATTACTTTTATTTAACCGTTTAAACAAAAAATACTGCAAAAGTGCATTTTCAGATTGATTTTTAAAAAGTAACAGAAAAGTAACGAAAAGTTATCTTTCGAGTAACGGTAATTGTAACGAGTTACTTTTAAAAAGCGATAACTAGTAACAGTAACTCGTTACTTTTTTTACTCGGTAACGAGTAACTGTAACTTGTTATTTTTAAAAAGTAACTTTTCATTCCCAAATTGATTTATATATACGTATGCACATATATATTTCAATTACATTAATAAATAAACAAGAGAGACCTATGAGCTTAATATAAAGTTAATGTTTAACAATCTATCTTAGATATATAATACATAGATATACAAACTCCGTTTCGACTCCGATCGGGTCAGTCTCAATATTAAAATTTATAATAATTTGTATAAATCAAATCAAATGTTACATAAATCAATAAAAGGATAAATTAATATAAAATAATGTAAAATAATATAAAATTAACAGTCTTTTAAATCTGATTGTTGGGTGTCCACAGTTTATAAATTAGTAACGTCATAAATTAAAAATTGGATAGCAGTTCTCATAAAATTTCGAAAAAATCCGGAAGAGAATAATTTTATCTTTATATGTATTAAATTATATGGAGCAAATGTGAAAGAATTAAAAATAACGTATATACAGTTGTTTCAGTACTATGTAGAATGAGAACATCAACTTTATATTAGGCTCGTAACCCTCTTTTATTTATTATTTATTTTTAATGAGCCTTATTATTTGTATATTTGGTTTAATTAAATTGTTTTTATATTGAAATTTTAAGAAAAAAATGAAGTTTTAGTGTAAAAATAATTAAAGGAAGAGCATATTAGAGGAATGCAACATGAGGCAATATAAATCCACTTCATATTTTCTTTTTTTGTAATATTTTTTCTTGAAGATAAATGAAAATATTAAATATATAGACATAAAGTATTTGCTCCGTGTGTAGAGATATAATTTACATTTGCGTTACACGCTATTCCATTAAGAAATTTATTTCAACACGATCTAGTGTAGTGAAATCAATTTAGTTTGTTATAACTCGTATGTGTGTACCCATACAGCATTTTAAGCAATATCTTTAATCACCTCTTGTAATTCTGCCTTGCTAAACATGTGAAACAATTGTCCAGGGGTCATTGTCATCACTTCAATATTGGTATCGTTCAATTTTTCTTCCATTACTTGCTTCAATATTGTCAGCGCAGCTTTCAATGCTTCCTTGAGCGTCATAGACTGTAAGAACAATATAATTTAATATACAATATCAAGAAACATTGTTCAATTAAATAATAACGCAAATTACCTTATGATATACTTCTTGAAGATTTTGTTGAGCTCCTTCACTACCAGATCCAATGGCTTTTGCATCAAATTGAACAAAAGTACCAGATGGATCCATATGATACAGTTGTGGTCCTTTCTCATCAATCCCCGCAAATAACATTGCTACACCAAATGGTCTAGACATGGCAGTGCCATCATCGTCGCTGTCTCCAAACTGTATAGCTAAATTAGATACAGCTTGAGCAGTAGACTCCACTGTCATTCTTTCATTGTAGACAAACCAATGATTCTGGCATTCAACTCGAGCTCTATCGATCATTGTCCGTGAATCAGCCATCAAACCAGATGCTGCACATCCTATATGTTTATCAATTTCTACAATTTTTTCTACAGTCGTTGGTTCCATTAAAGTTGAAGTAATACGCTTCTCTACTGCCAGAACGACTCCTTCCGTTGTTGCGATTCCAATGGCAGTAGAGCCGAGCTTTATTGCTTCTATGGCATATTCGACTTGAAATAATCTTCCCTCTGGCGAGAAGGTGTTTACACCACGATCGTATTCAGAACGTGTTAGAAACATCTTGGAATAGATAGAAGATGGACAAGTTAGAGACATGGACTACATTCATTATTCATTGTAAGTAATAAAAATATATACATAGATATAATGTACGTATATAAATTGATGCTTTTAATTATTTTATATTTCAATTATTCAAATTATCAAGAGAAAGTAATGTAAAATTAAGTACGTAAAATTAAGATTACAGATCAAATATTGAAGTTCTATAACCTTATAGAAATCAAGTTTGAGGTTAAGCACTACTAAATATGACACAAATAAATCGAATAAGGTTACAAAATGAGAATATTTATTATTATACGTATTTATAATACGACAAAACATTCGAGCATAAATAAAAATGGATAAAAGTTTAAACTAACGGAATAACAAATTGAATAGATCAGTTAACAAAGAATGACATGGCAAAACGAAACGGGAGTATTCTATGAATATAACATAAGTACGATGACAAATGTGATATATAATGTAAATTGTTTTTAAACTAAGTTATAAATATACCTTTAATGTTTTGTTTTTACTAAAAGTGAACGCAAAAGTACAAAATGCCGACTTGTCACAAACGCTAGTCACGGAGAGTGTTGGAGAGTGTAAGTAGTGTAATAATAATTACACTGGAGCAGCAGTAGCGTAACGTTACGTATGATATCTCCACTACTTCAGGGATCTAGAAAAATCACTTTTATGTGAAACCTGAAAATAAAAACTCAGTGAATGTATTCAGTGTTAATTTTTCGCAAATTTTTAATCTTTTCGCGAACATCTAGAATATTAATATTCTTATAAAGATACTTGTTATCACCAAAAATTATTAAATTACTTGTCGATTTAATAAGTGATACATTACTGGTTATGCTTATAATTGCATTTCAAAACTTAAAAAAATTTTGGCGCGCAGTTTGCAGAATCAAATGTGTATATAAATTCACAAAAATATTTACGCATTAAAATCTGTTTGTGCCGAAATAAATTTTTTCTTGTTTAATTTGATTTATTCTCGTCGGTTCAATTTGTATTATAATTATTCAACGTTTTAAATAAAACGGAAAGAATTTGTTTACTGAGACCTCTATCTTCACAAAACGTGCACATTGAACTATGTAGCTGGATGTCGATGCTCGATGGGTAACACATCAAATTTTATTATTTTTATAACGCATTATTGTTATGCAATTATATGTTCTGTGAATATTATAGCGCGGAACAGAATCGAACAATGTATATTATATCTAACAATAATTAACACACAGGACAAAATCGAAGATCGTGGATGTTATCCGCTGAAAATATCCGTGAATAACAGTTCAACGTGCACGTTTTGTGTACAGAGGTCCTCAGTAAACGAGAACTATAGAATACATACAACTCCGTTCACATACTCTGTTGATTAATCAATTGACACGTGTTTATGAAAAGCTGCGTCCGTGCAGTGACAATTGTATTAAAAATGACACACATTGATTCGCAAAAATTAAAAACGATTATAAATGAAAAAGACTGGGATCAGTTATTGCAAAACATTAAACCGAAGCATTTTGTCAGACAAGAGTCAAAGTATGTATGCAGCAATGTTTGTCAGTTGATAGATAATCGTATATGATAATTATTATGTATGTTTCAGGATGATACTTGATGCAAGTATCTTAGCACAAATATGTCAAGTACTTGTAAGTGAAACCACTCCGGTTACAATTATAATTTTATGCTTGAAATGTTTGGGAAACTCTTGTCTTGACAGTTACAAACACAAACAACATACGATAGAAAACGTAGAATCTATTAAATATAGTAAAAATTTATATAATAAACTAGTTGAAAGTGATGTATGCAAACAAAGAAAGAACTGTGATTATCCACATGATTCTTATTTTCCTTACGATGGAGTCATAGAATGGACTGTAGATTACATTAAAATTCATGGAAAATCTATATACCATTTAACTGACAATGAATTGGATATCCTTAGGCTCAGCATCCAATTTTTGTGTAATTTATTTACATATGCCTGTCCAAATATTACAGAGAAGGACATTCGAAGATATTTAAATTGCGATAACCTGAAACAAGCTATTCTGTAAGTTTACATATAAATACTTAGTACTTATATTTAATATTCTTTTGATATTCTTTTATAATTTGTTAAAAACAAAAATTAAAAAATTGTTTTAATTATTTTTAGGAGCTGCATGCAGTCTGATAATAGATTACTGGCCAATGCAGCCTGCATTTATGTGCACAATGCGTTAAAAAAATTATGTCAAAATTATTTTACAATGGAGAAAAAGGATCTATTTTTACAATTATTCAAACCTGCTAGAGAAGGTTTTACATCTGCAAAAGATGCATTGTTATTCCTGTTACATCAACCAAATGTATTTGAAGATGTATATAACAATATAACTATGAACGAAAAGTTAGATTTACTTAAAATTATTTATGATGAAGTCTGGAACGCTTGGCAATCTGATTTTAATACAGTCTTCACAGAGAATCAGGCTGAATTTTTAGCATTAACATTTTGCAAAAAAAGTGATCTCATTTTAAAAACTGTGGACACATACGTGAATAACATAGATCCTACAGAAATTATTCTTATTCTTAATATTTTGGGGCTTCTTACTACACAATACAAGATTGTAGAAAATATCAGGAGTTTGCTTATTAATTGTAAATGTAAGTACATCAATTTTCAGTACGATCTAATTCAATATAAAAATAATATAATTATATCTATAGACCTCTTGATGTCTTTACATATGATGGGAAAGGAAGCAGACAATTATTTTACTCCAATAACAAATTTAAGTCAAGTAGTACCTAATACTCAAAGGAGAAGTGTAAATATATGCTCAAATGCAAATGATACGGAGGTATCTGGAGTGACAGCAGCAAATCATGATCTACAGGAACATCCCGCATATGGTTTTAAAGCGGGACTAATACAAGTCATTGCAAATGTGGTACACAGGAATAAAATGTGTCAAGATCTGGTAAGTACAATTACACGAATTTTATGTTACTATTTTGTTCTTAAAAAAAGGAGATGTAAAATTTATACGAAATTTATCTAGTGTCGATAAAGAACGTTTCTTACTTATCTCAAGCGTTTTATTTTACTGGTATGCCGTTGAAGCACGCCTCGTAATGGTTGTGAGAGGAATTAGAACGTCAAGTTTCGAGTATGTGACAATCGATATATAAATAATAAACCAAAATAGAAAAAAAAGAAGATATAACAAAGTATGCATACACACATATTTAGTTATTATTAATATTGTTATTACTTTTATTTCATTCTTTAAATTTAATTTAAAAAATTCTTTATTTCGTTCCTTTTTTTCATCACGATTCGGTTAAAATTTTTTTCTTTTATTATAAAAGAATCGTACAGATTATATTATTATTTTATACAAACATTTGTCTTATTGATACCTTTAATTTTTTATAATTATTTATCTAATTTACCTACAAATTAATTAACTTCTATAAATAAGAAAAACGCAAGTGTTTCAGCAAAAAAAGTCCTATATTTAGTTATACGTTACGAAACCACTCGGTGTATCTTAAGCTTCATACGAAATAAAAGAAAAAATAACCACAGCGTTGAATTCCGGCCACACAGAACGCTTGCGTCACGTTCTGTACTCAAGAGATTAAAATTATGCCTTATGAATGATGGTAGGTTATTTTCAAACGAAGAGAACCTTGACAGTTGCAAAATATAAATTTGGCTTTTTGTTGCGCGCCACGGTTGTGCGCTATATGCATGTACGGTAAATCGATATTTCTCTCCCGCTGATTACATCTCGCGTGCGGATGATACGGAATACGTGAACAAAAGATACGCAATAGTACGCGGCCTGCCTCGTTGGACAAAGCGAAATTAAGTGTTCCATCTGACTGAGAGATGTAGCAAGATGATCGAAATCTGATATACGCGCTGCGAATTTAACGGATCTGCGAGATGACAAAGTTCACGTCGCATGCGTATTGACAGATAAATTAGTTATGATGAATCAGAGCGGAAACACAAGCCTGCGGGCGGAATATTAATTCAGTCCTCTAGTATTAAGGATGACATGGACATCGTAGTCACGATAGTAGGATGCAGATGACTTTTTTGCTGATCAGCAGTTATAATAAATCTGTTGTCGGGTACGGAAATATTGACGTTGTAGCATTCGATCATTCGTGTAGACAAAGGTGTTCTTTAATGTTAAACTGACAGTGTCAAATTACACTTTGAATTATTTTTAATTGTTTCTAAATAAATCAACTACTCTTACTGAATATGTAGTTAATTTAACTTAAACAGCTTAGAAATGTATTGTATTTGATTTGAATTAGCTTATTATTTACGAAGTAATGCATTATATTTCACTCCAAGGGTTGAGTTACCATTGTTTCTCTGATATCTAATAGTGTTGGTGAATTTTCGAGCTATTTTAAATAAAAGGACATAACGATAACATATGATTTCAGTTTCGCGAAATAGATGGAATTCCATTACTTCTGGATTGTTGTAACATAGACGCGAGAAATCCGCGTAAGTGTGAAAATTAAATTTCACTTTTTCTTTACTTTTGCTCCCTTTTCTATTGACAATTTTTTTTACGCAGTCATCTTACAATGGGCCATCCTCGCTTTGAGAAATCTGTGCGAGGGAAATCCTGAGAATCAAGAAATTATCAGGAATTGTGAAAAAACGGGCGTGCCAGATAACCCTGCGTTGCAAGAGATGGGATTGACTCTGCACGAGGACGCGGATGGGAAATCGATTCGTATCGCTCCTTTGCGTCGCAATTAAGAAGATTTATCTATTTTCTAGGACTCGAGATCGCTGTTGGCGATCAATCAATTCGATAATTATCGAACTAATGCTTGTTTGTATCGATAATATCTTCGATAAAATACAATGATTGGTTTATCTTGGTATGCATAAATAATTATTGTTCCAATTAGTTCTACTGAAATGTATCCTGCTGTATCACTCGTGAAAAAACGACACCATCATTACAACGATTTGTGTCATTAAACGAAATACGATATGTATAGTATAGAGAGAAATATTTTATCTACATTCATGACCGAGTGATTTATGATACAATAAAAGTTGCTACGAGAGTTCACGGTCTATTAGTAATTGCTAATGTAAGTATACAACTGCTATTGCTGATCATTCAATTGCAATGCGAAATGGATTTTGTTTTCTTTTAATAATGAGCCCTCATTAAGATTTTATTAATGCGTGCACGAGAATAATAATAATTTTTAGGTGGTGTTCTTCAATAAATAAATGTCTACACCCACATTTTGCTTGTCAATTCACGAAATTGCTCAAGACAGAAATTCTTGTTCAAGAATTTATAGAACCTCCAATTATGCTGTCAGAAGACGCAGTGTTTTAATAAATAATTTCTCTATTAATTAATTGCACACGCATCTTAATTTCCCCTTGTCCCCGCGATTCCCGTTTTAAGACGATAATTTCTCACATCCACGGCCGTTTCTCATCGCGAACAATTTTACGATGAGGAACGACGACGTCGTCCTGCGCGCGTAATAGGTGTTTATTAATGTCATTCACGAGGCGCGCGGATAAGCGGGCGAGAGCAGAGAGGAATCGTATGGTGGGTGAGAAATCCGCCTGCGCGTATACCAACTTGTGCGTTAATTATACCGGAAGTTTCGAAATACACGAGAGACAGTTACGTTTTCCTTTCTAATGGAATTCTCTGGACAGTATAACCGCGCGCGGTTTCCAGCGCCAACGAGATCGGCTAGTACTTATAATATCGGTAAATAAATAATATAGTAGATAATTATCTCTCTCTCTCTCTCTCTCGAAGGGCATATATACTGTGTGCGTTCTACTTAGCCGTGATACGCGACGGCATGCGCGTCTGAAGGATTTACGAAATGTAATAATAGGTTTCCGGACGTAATATGCGATCTAATCGAGCATGACCAATCGCTGATTTATAGCGTGATTTTGATGAAGAATAAGATTACGGATAGTTATGGCGTATACATACACGAGAGTCTACTTTTAACTCATAAATATATGATCGAATGACACTCGCCATGCAAATATGTACATTGTAATAATCATTCCTCTACTTTATTAGTTAATTCCGTCGCAACAAAGAACGTTAGATTTATATCGCGCGAGTTATATATCTTCGAGATGTTTCTGTAAGCGAGCCGTGACTCCCCGATAAAATATCTCAAGTTTGCACGGTTCGTGTATGAAAGTAGACGGGTATACCGTACGCGTCCCGCGTACGAACGTTCCGTAAATTGCTTTTGATTTAAATATCGGCCGATCTCGAGTATACGATCAATCTTGAATGTGCGTAATGGCGAGCAGTTAACGCATCAATTTATCAGTTAATTACATACGCGGTTAATTGCCACGAGTAATTATTTCCGCGCAAGAGAAGAGTTCTCCGTACACCTCGATCGCTCGCATACAGGAAAAGTATGCGGTGTTCGAAGAAGCGAGATGAAATTCTTGCCACGTGAGCCATTTTGATCGTGCGGTCAATGTATCGATAGAAGTGACTCGTGATCTTCTTGAGAAAAATACTATGGCATCCAAAACTAACTTGGAAAAAGATAGTAAGAATATAAATGTTTGTGACTACAGTGGAAATGTCGCATTTTCTAACTCTATGCGTATTCTATTGATTCATTTATATCTTTGTTTCTATTTTCTCAGCCCCGCGTCTCAATCCCGTTTCTATTTTAATATTCTGAATAAAATGTCACTGTAAATGTGTCAGCAACGTTTTTATTCTCATTCAACAAATAAAATTGGGGAAGCTAAGAATAAAGTGATTGATTTTATGCTAAAAATGGAAAGATTTAATCGTGAGAAAATATCATTATTTCCTTTTTTCGTGATTATAAATTTTGCACCAAGGCCATGAACGAACCGCCTACTTGTAAGAATCGATCGGAGTAATTAATTAAATTCGATGCAATGCTGCGTCCCGTAAAAGAAATATCTTCCAGCGCGTTGAGGATTTCGTCGATCCGCTAACCTTATTAATATTCATAGACACTGACGAGGGAAGCGTAAAAAGTGCTTGGTCGTGCGTGAGATCGCTCAGGTGCGTAAATTCTGATCGGTTTCTTGATAATCAACTCGTTGACGCAATCAATTCTGGCAAAAGACAGTCAAATAGAAAGAGAGGGAGAGAGCAGAATATGCCCTAACTCTAAATAATATTTTCTGTTTGTTTCCAATTATACTTATATTTCGTTTATTATAATCGATTTAAGAAATATATATACATATATGCATGCAGCCATGGATTGGAGAAATTCTCTCTCTTCTTTCATCTCTTTATTAAAGTCTCAGAAAAAGGTTAAGAAATAATGTTTGTAGTCGACATTTCAAAGACGATTTACGTAATCGTTTAAATTAAATTGTGAATAAATATAGGTATACATACAAATATGCAAATATTATACGTTGTATGTTACAGAACGGATCATTCGTGTCAGAAAGTTAAGATTTAGTTTAAAATCTCCCGTTAATTTGTACTAACTTTGATTAGTTTATATTTAAATAAAATTTGTATTTTTTAAATTAACATTCTCCTTTTGATTTAACGTTAGTGAATATACATTACTAAAAGAAAAATAGAATCTATGGTAAGCCGTTTTACTTTTTAATAGCATAAAAGAAATTTAGTTTATAGTTAAATTCTTAAAAAATAATTGTCTTAAAAAAATTATGATTTTTAATAACGCGATTTAAAATTATGTCGCGACATAATAATAATTCGATGAATTAAAATGATGTCGGGACATAATAGAAATTCGCAATTATTATTATGTCGCGACATATAATTTTAAATCGTTATTAAAAATCATATTTTTTTTAAGACAATTATTTTTTAAGAATTTAACTTTAGACTAAATTTCTTTTATGCTATTAAAAAGTAAAGCGGCTTGTCATACCATAAGAATCCGCGACAATGAGAAGAAGAATTTAAAAAGATGATAAAATCTTAGGTATATATACGTAGAATAACATAGGATATCAAATTGTTTCAATTCTTTACTTTCAGCATTTACCCTTCTGTCATGTAAAATCTTACGTAAATTTCAGACAAAGATATCTATTATATCAGGGCGTGATGGATAGATCGATGATAGGTACGGGATAGATAATCGATCTAGCAAACGAACTAGATTCTCGTATTAATAGAGGCCGCAAATTGAGCCGGCCGGCGTCGGTGCCTAATAAGTCGCGGATTCTCTCTGCGATACGGGGCTTGAACGGGGCCTCGCGTGCGCCTACGCGTGATTTCTCTCAAAGAACCCCGACACGACGATATATTTCCTATGCCCTCGTATACTTTACATACATCGTATCCGCTGCGCATTTGTACGAAAGAGTCGAATCAACGTAAAGGATCGTGCACAATGCGCGACTGAGGGTCGAACTCTCTATTTAAAAGTCTAGGAAATGTCGTAAAATGAGACTAATCCAAGTTGCCATGAGTTTTGAAAGACGTCTCTTTTGATACGATTTTTTCGTTGAAAGAATTTTTACGTCAAGACAGTGAAAAATTTATTCTAACGGCGATATAATGCTGAATATAGATATATTAGACGTTTAAGGGAATTGAAGAAGGATCGCGAAGTAAAATGACAACACGTTAATTATAAGCGTAAAGGAGAACTCACGTACCGAGAGCACGCAGACCACGCGATATGTTTTAACGATTGCCGCACACGCAGTGCGTAAGCCGTAAATGTTACGCCGAGCCAGAGATTCGTGTAATAGCCACTAAAAGCGAGTTTCGTCCCTTTATGGATCGTAAAGACAGGGATATTTGGAACGGGGGAAACCACGGCTTAAATTGACCCGACTCGCAGTTAACTAAAAGAGCGTGAGGTACAATCGGGTTCTTGGGTACACCGAAATGATCCCCGAAGAGACACCATTGTCAGCATACGATTTCCTTTTAGCAAATAGGATCTGAAATCCCTCACAATGACATCATATTATTACGTTTATATATTATTATACAGGAAATATATAAATAATTTACAGTAATAAAATAGAATTAATTACCAGTCATATGAAATATCGTTGAATTGAATAATATAAATTTATTAAATGATAAACAGATATCTGAATGAAAACAAAGGTAAAGAATGTTCGAAACATTTGTAACATATTTGTAACAATGGTATCGAGCTAAAATTGCGCGATTCGTTTTCAATCGCGTTTCGGTTTACCCAAGGTAAATTAATCCCGTTCCAAATACGCGCGCGCGTATTGTCCGAATGATGAAAAGTCTGCTCTAATTACCCCGTGTAAACGGAGCCGCGTTCATTTCTCGAGAGACGGGCACGATATGTTGCTCGTAAACAATGACAATAGAGCCTGCTGTCCGCGAACGGATGCTGCTGATGCCAGCGGCCCTCATGATGGCCGCTCGCAATCCTGCGGTCCGTCCGTCGAGTTAATTAATCGCACCGAACGATCTCCATTGAAATGGAATCTGGATAAATTTTCCATGCTGATGTGCTGCCAAGCTAGTATGTGGGTATTATCTTTACGACCTCTTCAAAGAGGAGATGAGACGTCGGAGCGGCGAGGTGCAAGAGAATAGGGGACGCATGCGCGCGATACGGCCGCAGCCGCTGGAAACGGTGCACCGAAACCAGAGAACCTGTTATCAGAGAAACAGTGGTCTGGTCCAATTATCACGCAGGCGAGACAGCCGAGGTCTCGTCTGCGAGACGCGTCGTCCTCGCCGCTTTTAATTCTGACTTATTGGAGAACTTGGTTCGCGCGTGCAGGCGT